AGCAGTCTGAGCATAGCCCTAAGTGCTGACAGCACTTTTTAGTAGGGACAAAAGTTCTTGGATTAACTTAGTGCCCAACTGCAGTTAACAGCTGAGGCATTAGATACAGGAACCCAACAACTGCTTTTCAGTACTAGCGGTTTGACAGAACTATGTGAAAACATTAGGATGAATCTAGTTGGTTTGGTTTTTTTTAACTTCCCTAAAATTATGTCCAGGCTGAGATACCATGGCCAGTGTCCCCTAGAATTGTCAGATTAGAGTTCAGCAATTGTCATCTTTCAAAACATACACTATTTTGTTTAGCCACCATTGAATCCCAAAGCCTGAGCAACTACTCAGGTACTCCTAGGCTGGAGACTGGTAACACTCATGTACCTCCTGCTCCTTCCCTCAGAGCTGCGTGTAAGGTCATCAACAGTGTTTGGTGCTTCAGGCTTCCCCTTCCATGCTTACCTCCCAGCACTCAGCTATACCTTTTCTTGCAGGAACCTGTCCACAATCGCTACAAGGAGCTTCTGGCCAAGCGGGCTGAGCTGCAGAAGAAAGTGGAGGAGCTGCAGAGAGAAATCACCAACCGTTCCACCTCATCCTCGGAGAGGGCTGGCTCTCCCGCACAGTGCGTCACTCCCGTACAGACAGTTGTATAATAGACTCCTTCTGATGAGTACCTTCCCAGGACCATGGGGGCAGCTTTCCTGAAACCTCCTGGATTTCCAGCATGGTGCCTGGGAGATGCCAACTTATTTATTTATTTCTCTCCAGGGTAATTTATTAGTACTGTAGCACTAGAGAAAGCTTAAGCAAAAAAAACAACAGACAGACAAGGCCCCCTATGCAATTAACCTTCTCAGTGGCTAGCTTATAACACAAGCCAATTGCACCTGTCACCTAAAAGAAGCCTAGAGCTCGCTCTTTGTTCACTTATGTGCTGGAAATCACTTGGCTTTAAAGAGAGACTGTGCACTAGAACAAAGTACTGTTGGAGGAAAAATGTCTGCTCAGATGTTTGAAAGACCTTGCCTTTGCTAAAAGGAAAGGCCAAATCTGACTGTGTTGGACCTCGAATGCAGCTGTAACGTCATGAATCCTCTGCTATTAATGTCTGCACAGCAGTGTGACTGAGCACGTTTGACCAGCATACTTGGAGACAAGCAGCGATAAGCATCTGAAACGTATCACTCCCTTGTTCTCGATCTAGACCATAAGAAGCCATGTAAATGATGCCTTATTTAAAGAAAGGGCAGCTTCTACCGACAGAACACAGTGGTAGAGGAGCAACCTACAGGACTTTGTAGGACAAAGTTTACTTCCATCTCTGCAACTTGAGAATCTTGCTTATGGTTTACAGTGGGTGTGCCAGGATGCAACTTAAGCACCTTTATTTCTGAGGGGGGAGCAGAGCATGGCTCCCCTGAGCTTTCTGCAGCTCCTCCGGCCTCCAGTGCCTCATACTCATCAGGGGAAGGGTAGTGGAATACCAAGGGACACGTGTAAACTGCTGGGATCAGTCATTGCATTTTGCTTGCGTAAGCATAATTAGCAATGTTAATGCTTTAGTGCAGGATCATAGTGGTGTATTTATGGTATTTCAGTTTTCTGCTAGCTAATGGAAGCAACTGTGCATCAACCAAAGACGCCTTTCTGCCTGCATTGCAACTGCTGCTTAAGGTTATTCTGGCAGACTGAACAGCTTAGCCAATTTCTGAGCCCTACATTTAGGTCTTTTTCCTCCAAGTGTGCTTCAAGAATTAGTGTCACTTGATGAAACTCACTCAAGTTGAACTTCAGTTTTCATACAAAGTCTTACTGTAGAAGAGGAGATAGCTGAAACACATACTTGGTGAAACCACGACTGCCCCATTGCTCTTCCAAACAGGTAAGCACAGGGTCGTAGAAACCTGGGCTTACGGCAAAGGCAGATGTGTGTAAGGATCTTTCCTCCAGGCTGCTTCCCTTCTCCATGCCAAGGAGGAAGGGCACTGCTTGGTGTGGGTTCCTGTGTTGCTCTTTTATGACAGGATCCCATACTGTGCTCACCTGTTTACTAAACCTGTCAGCATGCTGCTTCACTCAGCTGCTCTTCCACTACAGCAAAGGACTTTCTGAGAGTGTACAAGAGTGGACCAATTTCTACACAAGAAATTGCCTTTCAAAAGCCACATTCCTTCCAAGGCAGATAACAGTTTTCCCCCTGCAGTCTCCACTTCTGCCTGCTCTACTGCAATGACCATCTTCAGTGCTTACAGAGAAATCCACAGGCACCTTCCAGCAGGATGAATAATGGGCTGTACAGTATCACCACATTTCTTATAGGGTGGCCTGAGACATTATGGATCAATAGTGCAAAGAATACACACAACATATCTTCTGAAGGACATGGATTTGCTTTGAGGTTAAAGAGCAGATCTGCTGCTCTTACATACAATCACTATATAAAATGGTTCATTAGCATTATTCTGTATTAGCAAATTGACTATGTGTGTATATTTTGTTTCTTGATGAAGGCTGTGTGGTTTCCTTAACACTAATAAAAACTGATAAATGGGAAAAGTTCCTGTGCTCCTTATTTTCAGCTATGTGTTCTCCTAAAGGCTTGTAGGACATGCAGCCATTAAAAAAAATAGCACTGCAAGTTTAGTATATGAGATCCAAATGTCTTACTCTCCTTCAGGTGGTCTTCTAAGTTCAAACTCTGAAATCCAGAATGACAGAAAAACAAAATTCATCTTTGGACAAGTTTCTCTAATCGTAAACAGATCACTATTAACACAGACAGTTCTTAGCTGCTCACTATTGTAAAAATAGAATCACAAAATGGTTCGGTTTGGAGAGGACCTTTAACGATCATCCAGTTCCAATCCCACTGCCATGGGCAGGGAATCAGGCTGCTCAGAGCCCCATCCAACCTGGCCTTGAACTCTTCCAAAGATGAGGCATCCACAGCTTCTCTGGACAACCTGTTGCAGTGTATCACCACCTGCATAGTACAGAATTTCTTCCTAATATCTAAACTAAACATACTCCTTTTGAGTTTAAAGCCATCACCTCTTGTCCTAGCATTGCATATACTTGTAAGAAGTTCCTCTCCAGCTCTCTTGTAGGTCCCTGTAGGTGCTGCAAAGTGCTGTAAGGCCTCCCCAGAGCCATCTCCAGGCTGAACAACCCCAGCTCTCTCAGAAGCTACTGTGCTAATTATTCTTCTTGTGAAGGTACCTGTGTGTATATACACACACGTACAAAGTATTCTGAAATACTTTCACAAGTAAAAAAACAACCCACGATTTCTGCTCTTTACAGTGCATTAGCACAGTAACTTCTGTGTAAAAGGAGGATTCACATTGTTGTATGTAACTTATGCTAAGCCCAAATTTACTGGGATGATTTGGGATCAACTCTGCATGCTCTTTGATGCTTTCACCTCTAGTAGCCTTAATTCCAACCTGGGCACCTCATTCATTGTAGGCAGCACATATGGAGCCTAAAACACTCCCGAGCCTGCCATCAATAAGGAGCTGCATGAGGACAGACTGAGGTTATGATGAAGTTAACCCATCTTTGAGAAAGCTGATCCCCAGAGGTCCTTCCCAAGCAAAGTGACCAAGTGTAGTTTCAGCTACTGATTTTTCAGGACTGCTGGGATGAACTGCTCTCCAAGTGGTTACTCCCACTATACCTGAAGGCTGTATCTCCAACCGAAATGAAGGTAAAAGGGATGGCTCCAAGCCTGGTTAACAGTATCAGACTTCTCTCACAGCTAACATCCTGTGTGCCTCAGATTCAAGGAGAAAAGCACAGTGTATCACCTACATATAATTAAAATCTAAATCCTTTCTGCCTGTCTCAACCCTGTAGAACTCCCTTCTTGTTCCAACTACAGGCAAGGGTGCACAACTCTGACTTCCACCTTCCCTGCAGCTCACATTCATTACCCTGACCAGGGAGAAGTCACCTCACCTCTGGATATGGCACAGTGCTGCAACAAGCACTTGAGCTAATTCAGAGGAAGTGCAGCTCTCTCACAATTCATTCAACGGGCAAGCTGACTTTATTATTTTTCAACTGTATATACAGGTAATCTGGGTCTTCTATACATCCCATTAATAGGAAATTCTTTAAATTATTAACATAATAAATAACATTTACTCAGCTGTGCAAGTCAGAGCACAAAATTAATTGCATCACTACCAAAGTAGATAGCTGATCAAAGCACATATTTCAAGTTAAAAAGCAAGATGCCAGGGCTGAATGGCATGATAGAGGCACTTGCAATTTAAAACACTTCTCACTCCTTGACCACCCAAAGCTGTGAACTAGGAGACAGGCTGTTATCCCCTATCCTGCAGCTTTTTCCTGAAGTAGGATTTCTGTACAAAAATTTCACATGATCATTAAGCAAAATCATTCACAAATTACTTTGCTCCTTTTTTGAGTACTCAAACATCCACTGCCATTGGTGCTGACTAATGCAATGTAGCAGAACAACCAGGAAAGCTTTTTGAGGGCTCCACACACTACCGTTAAAAAGGTTTACCTCAGACACTCCCAGAGATGGAGTCATTGCAGCTGCACACAGAACAGAGCTGACAAAAGCCCTTAAGACTCAGGGCCACAGCATTGTTTTCAAACAACATGCATCCTGAGAAGCCTCCCAGTTGAACAGCAGCATGAAATTGCACTGGCATGTCACACACACACACACCAACCCACGTGAAATGTGCAGTGCTTGGTGTTCTGAAAGCAAATGGAGGGACTGCTGGAACCACAACAAAGGAACTGGTGGAGCCCTATTGTTAGACTCAGTGGCTGGGTACCTTAGAAATGGAATGTGTTTTGAGCTAGACCATCATACATACAACCAAATGCAGGGGTGGAGAACTAAGCCTGTATTTCAAAAGTGTGCTTAGCGTACAGAAGTCTCTTTGCACAGCAAGGAGGAGCTGCTTTGTATCCAGAATGTGAGAAAGCTTGGCCAGGATAGTTCAGCATCTGCAGAAGAGTCAGTAGTCCCAGCTGATGTCATCTTTCTGTAGTGAAGTCTGTATGGTCTGCATGTCTCTCAACAACTGAAGGTTTTTCCGACTCTTCTCTCCGGGTTTCACTTTGATGGGACCAGCATTCTTTCCTTTTGTAGTTACTGTAGTTGTTACTTTAACCTCACTAACAGGAAACCTGCTGTCTTTTGTTTGTTTAGCAGAAGTCTTTTTGGACTTAGATTCTCTCTTAAGTCTCTCTAGCTGAAAGAGAAGCCCAAAGAAAAACATTAAGCAGTGACCTTGTTTCAGTTTATGATGGGCAGTTATTCCAAGCAGCTGAATTACCCCACCACTTACTTCACCCAGCAAAGCAAATGGATGCTTCCAGCTCACCCTGAATAATAAATATTTTATTTTCCCTCACACACAGCACTGTGTTTAGCTTTTAGTCTGAACTACCAGATGGTCTCTAAAAACTGACAAGTTCATTACAGGGGAACATCTCCATTAGGAATGTAACAGAAAAAGCTGTAGATAAGAAAAGTTGATTCATCACTGTTACCATCCAGTGATTAAAAAAACCCAAAACAACCCAAACCAAGCAGAAATGAAGTTTTGCTCCATACATACTAGTAATTTTGATAGCTAGTCACTGTCAGAGGTGTAGCTTTACAAAGAACACCAGAACTCTCTTGGGGTGGAGGTGTTACACACATGCAGCACGATAAATCACAGCATGTAAGACTCAGTACCCCCCAGCAAAGACTGAGCTGGCACAAGCCTGAGTGGGGAACTGGACAGTCTGAGGTGCAGACACATTCATACACCCAAACCACAACACACGTGACTTCTAGAGCTCCCCTCTCTTCAGGCAATGGTGCTCCCTCCTCATAGTTTACAGCATGCAGCAATTCTCCTAAAGTTTGGATCCTAAAACTTCCACCAATAGCATATGCAGCATCATTACCATTGGGAACTACAGCACATCTGCTTCTCTGCAGCAGTTCCTCTGAAGATCATAAGAGATCAAAAGTGGGTAATGCTTCTAAGTGAAAACATCTCATGTGTCCATTCTGGATGTCAGCAGCAGAACTCTCAGCACGTATTTTCCGCATAGCTTACATCAGGTTCATATGAACTGAACCAGATTAAATACGTGGGGTTAAGCTCTTTGACAGAAACTCACTAATTATGATTAGAGAAAACAGGGAATCAATATGTTTTACAGCTTTGAATGAGCAGTCTACGCTATTCAAAACGTTTTGAAAGTTGTAAGTTAACTGAAACTAGCATTTTTGGTCTTTTAAAATGCAAATCAAAACATAAATAGGTAATTTATTCCAAACAAAGGGGAACTGTTAAACAATGTTCAGGAGACAAGAAGAAGGTAGAATGCCATGTGGGAACAGATGTGAAATCTCTGCCCAGGCCAGTATGAAGAGTGGGGACAAGAGTGACAGAAAGGATACTTCTGCAGAAATACTGGGATAGAAAGATGGAGGTACACAGGCTAACTTTGGGACACCAAAGCCATAGCCAGGCAATACTACTCTACGGTACTTCTATCTGCTTTATTTGATTGCTGCTAGATTAGCATGTAACAAAAAAGCCCCACTTAAGTCAGCAACTCGACATCAGCATGAACACAGTCAAAAGAAACTCACCTGCAACCGATGCCGCCGAACTTTGCTGATCTGGTCTGCCTTTGCTTCCATCTTTCCCACCAGTGCCTCAAGTTCCCTCTCCAGATCTTCCCTCACTGCAGCGGTTGGGGCTTCCTCGACAAGCTTTGACAGCTGCTGGTGATCACTAGCATAGAATTCAAGAGGACAAAGCTTGCATTAGGCTCCCTTGGCTTCTGCTGCTCATACCCCCAGTTCAGAAATAACACTTCTAGGAAACAACAGGGTCACCAGCCAGACATGCTCAACACACCACAATGAACCAGTAAGGACAGTTTTGCTGCTAGCAGCATTATTGCAGTAGCAAATCCTGGTGTCAGGCTGCTGCAGCATTAAGCTTCTATAACATAAATAGCTTCAGACTTCAAATTACACATTCAAAACTACCAAATAACCCCTTGAAAGCATAATCTCCACAGTCAATCAGTTACTATTTTGTGTATCTGCACCTTCTGCAGGTGTGCAGTACAGTAGCAATTTAATAACCACAACAAGCAAAATGCCTAGTAAAGTTGTCCTTTAAGGGAGTATTTGTATACATCCTTGTTTTGGCCAGCATAGAGTTGATTTTCTTTTTTATAGCTGGCACAGTGCTGTGTTTTGGAATAAGTATGACAATAATGTTAATACCACACTGATGTGTTGGTTGTTGCTGAGCAGTGCTTACCCTAAGCCAAGGACTTGTCAGTGTCTCATGCTCTGTCAGTGAATAGATGCACAAGAAGCTGGAGAGGGATGATAGCTGGGGCAGCTGATCCAAAGTGGTCAAAGGGATATTCCACACCATAGATTGTCAAGCTCAGTATATAAACTGGGGGATGTTGGCCATGAAAGGCCAATTGCTGCAGGAGACAGGCTGGGCATTGGTCAGCAGGTGGTGAGCAATTGTACTGTCCATCACATGTTTCTCTTGGGTTTTATTCCTTTCTCCCTTTTTCCTTTTCATTATCAATACATTTATTTCAATTACTAAACTGCCCTTATTTCAACCCATGGGTTTTACTTTTGTCTGATTTTCCTCCCCATCCCACCAAGAGCAGAGAGGTGGCTGCGTGGTACATAACTGTCGGGCTGGGGGGGAAACCCAGTCCTATTTGGCACCCAACATGGGGCATGAAAGGGGGACAGATCTGACCAGAGTGTGTAAAGAGAAACTGGTGATAAGGATTCACTGCACTGGTCACAATGCTGATTTAGGATACGATGGATTCCCTGGTTGTGGAGTAACTCGGGGATGTGTGTGCGCTGTGCTCGCAGCACTGTTGTCCCTTGCACCGCGGGACCCACCCAGTGGGGAATGTTGGTCATTACACCTTTCACTTTTTTTCCTCAGATTACCTATGGATGAGACTCTCCAGGCTGATCACAACAGCGTTTGAGAACTCTGAATAACCTTGGGATGTTAAAGCCGTCACGGTCCTGTTGCTAGGAACCAGCATGGTGCTGAATGTGGTTCAGATCAGGGGGAAGTACTCTGGGGGCAATGAGCAAGCGGTTGCTGGGACTCAATTGCTATTGACTTACCATGGTTAAACCCCATGGTAACTAATGGTTACCATAGTTAAACCCCACAAACAGCAAACTTCCTTTTGCACATACCAGAGGACATACAGGGTACACACAATGGAGAACCCTGAGTTTTACCCGTGGGACCACGGGGAGGACACAAGGAAGTGGGATGGAAAACCCACCTCAACCCTAGAGGCACAGGTATGTGAACTGCAGGGAAAAACAAGCATCAATGGAGTGTGCTTAAGACTCCAGAGAGCAGTTCCCCTAGACAGAGTGGCAGGGCTGATCTTATTCCTTATCCTATGGAAAGGAATAATAATTTGTTTTTACAGAAAATGGAGAAGCCTAGGACCAGTATCAGAGGAGCCCTGTCTTCAGCCAGGTGGAGGAGAACGGACAACTGGGCTGCAGTTGCAATGAAGTCTCCCCAGAGCCTTCTCTTCTTCAGGTTGAACAACCCCAAGTCTCTCAGCCTTACTTCACAGAAGAGGTTCTCCATCCCTCTGATCATCTTTGTGGCCTCCTGTGGACCCACTTGAGAGCAGGTCTACATCCTTCTTATGCTGGGAGCCCCAGAGCTGGATGCAGTACTCCAGGTGGGGTGTCAGGAGAGCAGAGAGGGAGAATCACCTCCCTCGACCTGCTGGCCACTCCGCTTTTGATGCAGCTCAGGACACAGTTGGCTTTCTGGGCTGCAAGTGCAAATTGCTGGATCACACTGAGCTTCTCATCCACCAACACCCTCAAGTGACTTCAGTATGCAACTATCCACACACCATTTTTCCTGCCCTGAAAGACTTATGACAGATGAGTCTAATTTTATGGACTAAATGAACTCAGACTTTTATACAGATGACCCATAGACCTCAAGAATGGTGTCTGTGTGTACATATATCAAAAGACTGGAAAGGTGATGGTGGGTAACTGGGATGCATTGAAAAGTGTGGGGCTTTGGTATAGTATGAGGGGTGGATACTGCCCATCCCCATTAGCGGGTAGGGGTGGGTGTGGTGTGACTGTGAGCAGCTGTGTGGTCCTCAACTGTTGGATGGAGTTAAACCACCACAGTCCACTGCATCAGGGGCTGCTGCCACTATTCTCCCCTATCCCTTCCAACTTCAATACTGCTGGATATAAACACATGTACAGAGTTCCAGACTGTTTAGCAGAGTCTCACACTGCAAGGACAAATTACAGCATCTGCAGCCAGTGCAACAAAGAGATTACATACTAGAGACTTCCTAAACTAACACCTTTCTCAAGCAAAATCTTCAAAGTTCAAAGCAAAAGGCAAAAATATAAAACGTGTCCATCTGCAATGGAAAATATGCCAAACTCACAAACTCATCTGTCCAAATTCATCTTGTAAAGTCAGCAAAACTTCTGAGAGCTCTTCCTGAGATGAAGATGAGTCCTTTGGCAGAGATGGCTTTCTGCTTTTGCCGCCAGGATGGCCAGTACTGATGGGCTTTGCCAGTGGAGTATCATTTACCACATGACTGTTACACAAAGCTTTCGTGTGTTGTTTCATCAGGTGTAGGACATGTTGCACGTTGGCACCAACTGAATGACTGGGGCTGGTAGACTGGAAGGAAAAGAGACTTCTTTTTTTAAATGGCACTGTTGACAACCTGATAATACCAGAGAACATTTAAAAACAATAACACTTGTGTTTTGCTGCCAGAAATGTATTTTTTGTTTGAGTTAATATGCACTACCAAGAACAGCTTCTCAAGCAGCATAGTGCAGACCCACTCTGGAAATGCCAGTTCAGTGAGTTATCGATATCCATCAAGTCCTTAGAAGACAAACTGAAAGAAAACCATCAAAGAAAAACTGAATGATCTGACCACTGGGTGTCAGGAGCACACCAAGCCAAAGCCACTTAAGGAGCTGCAGCTGTGGAGCATTAAGCTTTGGAATTAATCAGCTCACCTTCCCAGCCACAAAGGGTACATCACCCAGACACAGCCTGTAATGGGGCTGCACAGTGAGATGGCTTCTACGAGAGCATTTCTGGAAAGAAAGGAGAGAGAAATGTTTAGAACACATTATGCTACAGTAAACCCATTTTCCCTTTACTTTGTAAAGTAAGAGGCAATCTATTTCCTGGTCACATGTACACATCCTCATTTAGCTCCTCAATAATTGCCCTTCTCTTCCCCCATCTTACCATCTCTGGCTGCTTAGCTTTCTTCCTGGGCTGTCTTGCTCTTGGAGAAAGCAATGGTGATGCTGCTTTAATCAGTAGTCTATTGGTTTCCAGACCTGTCTGAAGCTTTAATTGAGGAAATAAGGGCAGTTACTGAAATTGTATTAATAAATAATCAGAGACAGTAAGCAGAGAATTGCAAACCAAGAGTTTTTAAAACACAGACTCTGAAAGCAAGGGCTGCAAATTTCTAAGATGCTTTTGCAGTCCAATGTAAACATTAAATAATACCTCCTCTGGTAGCACTACTTACCAGTAATCCTAGTAAGTCAGAGAAATAGCCTTACTGCATTAGTCCCATGCAGGCAAGTACCAAAACATCAGCTGTGCTTTAAACTTCACACAGTATTAGGGAAATGAAGCCACTCAACCCCTGCTCAAATTGATCTCATGGCATACAGTTATTAGGCAACTATTTCTTTTGTTCTATTAAATCTGACAGCAAAACCACCAAAAACCCAAACAAACAGAAACCCACCAAAAAAAACCCCCAAACCAACCACCTAACCATCTATTGAAATAGTTAAGGTTTGAACTCCCTGCTGACAGTGAGAATCCTTTACACTTTGCTGCTCCTTCCAGGAGGAAGATACGACATGGCTTTAGAAATCATGTCCTAACCAATCTCAACTAGAAGCAATCACAGCAGAATTTTCCATCATCAATTTGAGACACCCCTTTCCCCATCACATCAAACTCATGGCAAAGGTTAATGCTAGAGCCTAACACACTACCCCTGTAATTCTTCAGCATACAATGAATGTTTAAAGTTAGCAGAAGACCAGCATCCTTATGGGCTCATAAGCAAGAGTACGTGTCTCTTTTTTTGCTTCCTCCTACAATATTTCAATTACAATTATGAACAAGGGAGCACACTTGTTGACCTTGATCTCTTTAGAGATCCCCATGCACCCTCACTATGAATTAGTCTGAATTTCTACTCTTCTTTTCCAACTAACTTCTTCTAGTGAAGAAATCAAGATTCAGTGCACAGCTGCTGTTAGAAAAGGGTTTCCAAAAAGCTCAGAGCTTCAGAACATTTGGGTACCTGAGACAGGGGGAAAAGGAGAAGAAAAAAAAAGACTAAAGCAAGGTTTTCATTATACATATAAGAAGCACCTCCAGTAAGTTTAGCTGAAAAGTTGATAAAAAAGAGGAGCATATTACAGTGCAGACCAGTACAAAAAAAATTTCCTGTTGCTTACCTCAGCTGCTTTTTCCTGAACAAGCTTCCTTGCATGTTCTTCCTCCTGAAGCTTCTGTTCCAGCTCTTTCATTTTTTTCTAGTCAAAGTTGAATAAAAATAATAGCATTACTAATGAAACATTTTTTTTCTTCCTGAAGCCTATAATACTAAGAGCTTGAGCAAAACTACGATTTTAACTCATGACTTAAAGCTGAGTGAGGACTTGAACATTAGAATGTTTGCTGATGCTTTGTCTATACAGGTATAAACACAGCAATAAAAAGCCTATGCTTAAAAAATTTCATTGATTTTTTTTTATTTTTACTTCCACAACTGGTATCTGAATTTAAGTCACAGCCAAGAGGAAGAGCAATACACAAGGCCGTCTTACTCTTCAGTTGTAAAAACGCCCTAGAAAGTAGGTTGATTTGTGTACATTATCCTCCTAGATTTTGTACTACAGAAGAATCAACAAAGACCTATCCCATATCATTATAAGACAAGAGAAGACTTGCTTTATTTCGACCACTATGGCTATTTTAGCTAAAATCTGTAACTTATACTCTAACAAGGTAAGACTTTTTGAACATCTAGCCACCTTCCTAATAAAGAAGAGGGAGGAAAGTTTATATGATGCCTCTGAGATACCTTTAAACAAAACTAATTTCACTTTTTTAATCATAAAAACACGTAGGAACTCTTTTGAAAGCCCATTTCAAAGAAAAGGGTTAAGGAGAAAAGCACGCATTTCTTTGTAAACTCTCCCAAGAAAATGAAAACCTTGTTTAAACAGGATACACTCAAATTCCCAACGTGAAAGTTATCAAATAATTTTCTGACTTTATAGAACAGAGTGAAAAAACAATCTAGAGCTCCAGTACACAAAACATCTTCCCTTCTCTTCCTCCAAAGACTGATTACTGAGAGCCACTAATCAAACTCAAGGCAGAACAGCATGCAGTACAGAGCAACAGATATTACACATTATTCTTGTGGTTAATGCTTAAGTAAAGCAGAACTGAAATATTTTCTACCTCAGTGTACTGGGTTTATAGGCAAACAAGTGTACAGATATGAGATGTTATGCAAAGGTGTTAAAAGTCAAAACCCTGGATAAACATTGAGAACAAAGGCACTATACTGTATAAAGGAACCAACATTTTCTCTTGAATAAAAGAACACTTCGAATGAATTTTTTTTTTTTTTGCATTCAAGGCAAATGTATTCCAGGTAACTTGAAGTCATCTTCTGCCCTTTACAGTTATTGGCACAAATCTTGATATCCACATGGTCAGTCTCAAAGATCTTTGACTAACCTGTTAAGTCTGACACAATTTTTAGCATGAAAATATTCAAGCACATATTTGGTTTAGACTGAAGATTTACATGAAGTTGGGCCAAGGCTTTTATTCTGAAATGAGTATTCCCTCAGTTAGCTTTCAGCTGCAGTGTGCAGATCAAACTGCACAGCAAGAGTATATCTTACCATGTCACGCATGCTAGACCCTGTTGGAAATTATATACCCAAGTTACAGCCCCAAAATAATTTTGTTTTCCTGTTTATAGAAGAAAGTATTATGCAGATTACTGAACTAAGAGAGAGGCCATAGGGCCAGCTAACAGCAAACAGACCCTCCCCAGCAGTGCTGCCCATCACGTGAGACAGCACAGCATGGCAAGAGGGCTGCAGGTCAGCATTAGGCTGCCTAAAACATTCTGCTCAATCACCAGTAGTCATTGAAAAAAAACTTCAATGAAAAAATAGAAATAAAATATTTCAATGCCTCTTTCTGCCTGTTTCCTAACAGAAATTAACTTTCATGCAAACACCTCACTCTCAGAATCACAGAACAGTTTGGGTTGAAAAGGACCTTTAAAGGCCACCTAAGTTCAAGTCACCAGACCAGGTTGTTTGGAGCCCTGTCCACCCTGATCTTGAATGTTTCCAGGAATGGGGCATCTACCACCTCTCCGGACAATTTGTTCCAGTGTATTACCACCTCAGTGTGAAAAATTTCTTCCTTATATTTAGTCTAAATTTATCCTCTTCTAGTTTAAAAACCATTGCCCTTGTCCTATCACCACAGGCTCTGTTAAACATCCGTCCCCATCTTATAAGCCCCATTTAAGTACTGAAAGGCCAAATTAAGATCTCCTCAGAGCCTTCTCTTCTTCAGGCTGAACAGACCCAACTCTCTCAGCCTGACTTCACAGGAGAGGTGTGTCCCAGACCTCTGATCATTTTTATGGCTCTCCTCTGGGCCTGCTCCAGCAGGTCCATGTCCTTCCTGTGCTGAGGACCCCAGGGCATGACACAGCACTCCAGGTGGGGTCTCAAAAGGGCAGAGTAGAGGGGAACAATCCCCTCCCTTGACCTGAAGGCCACTCTGCTTTTTGGTGTAGCCCAGGATATGGCTGGCGTTCTGGGCTGCGACCACATGCTGTTGGCTCATGTCCAGCTTTTTATCCACAAGAACCTCTAAGTCCTTCTTGTCAGGGCTGCTCTCAATTCTTTCATCTCTGTCTGGGGATATTGCAGCACCTTGCACCTGACCTTGTTGACCCTCCTGAGGTTCCCATGGGCCCATTTCTTAAGCTTGTCCACAACCCTCTAGATAGCATCAAACAACTTTAACCAAAGAAGACAGAAAGTTATGAGGTCTTAAAGAACATTTCAATTTCATAAAACTGGCTGCTGGGATAAGCATCTAAATCTGTTAAAACAGAGAGGGAATGTCTTCAATAGACAGCTTTTACCACTGTGCTTAGCAGCCTTGCAAATTAGCACCTGCCGGACAGCTGAGCAGTCAGTCATATCCAGCTGAAAACAGGGCAGCTGTAGCTTCTCACCACCTGGCAATTAGAGGACAGAGGAAAAGCTAGAGGTGTGGACAGTGTACAGTCACAACTGGATGTGACAGTTTATCACTTCTGTTGTTCACAGAATGGTAGGGGTTTATTAAGTCTCACTGCTAGCAATAAGACCAATTACTATGAACCACAGTGGTTTGAAAAGCGTCGCCTACACACGTCCAAATTCTGGCTATCTGGCTACACAGAAGACCAGAGCCCAAACAATGTTTACTTATATTAGCAAACCGCTTGAACTTAACACTTAGAGGGCCAGAGAGTGGCTCTGCAGAGATTAAACACTCTCATTAAGACCCACATAAAACTTGTGCTCTAGCAAGGTATCTGAAATCAGAGGCAGTTAAATCATTGCTTGCTCAGGAGCAGTCTCCTCACCACTCTCCATCCATTTCAGCACACCATCTATGAAACAGTTTCTTATTTTTTGCTTCGAGTTAGACTTCGAAATGTTCCTGTGGTCTTGCCACAACTACAGCAGAGGGAACAGGTGCAACTGTTCTGAGCAGAGTGCAGCCACTCCAAGGATTACAAGGTAACACCTAGCACACATGCTCATGTAGGAACACAGCCTGTAACCACAGAGGCAGACAGACCTGTCAACCAGAAAACAGCTCAGGACAGCGTAATGATCACTAGGAAAATGACCAGCTCCAGCTAAATCCAGATATTTCTCAGTTCCTATAATTGCTTCAAAACTGTGTTAATTTAACTCCCAATGCCACTAAAACAGATTCAACTGTGACAACTACTAATTCCTAATGAAAAACCATCAAAGACCTCTAGTTTGATCCAGAAAAAGATCAAAGAAGAACTGTAAGGCCAAGCACAAAAGGGCAAACAACCCAACCCCACAAACTTCAGCTGCTACCAGTCAAAACTTTGGCAAAAGCCCTTCAGAGAGAATTCTGGTTGCTGAAGCAGTTATTTCAACTCTGATCCTAGAGGAAAATACTGCTATTTTCAGTGAACAAGACCCAGGGGAGAGTTATTTCTTTGTAAGAGTTTGGCCCAAGTAAACAATGCAGCGACTTGCACTCCACAACTGCAGCTCACCACAATGGGGTGTCAAGATCTTAAACATCTTGTTCCAGCTGCCTTGGCTCAGGGACTTCCAACAGTATTTATAGATATCAGTACACCAAGTATCTTAAGATTTACTAACAAACATCTCCTTATGTACTCCTGGAGAAACACGATCTACTTCAGCCCCTGGTAAAAGCTGCTGTGCAGGGCAGCAAGCCTGTAATTTTGCTAGAATCCACAGCTGCCATCTTCAATATCACAAGCTAATCATATACTACCTGCTCTTTTGCAGGAGGAGGGAAAAAATTTGCAGGTGAAAGCCTCTTCCCGGTTAAGCTCCCTGTAGTTTCCAGGCTTGGGAATCTTGTGATCTCTCTGCAGGAGCAGAAAGAGGAATGTGAATGGAACTCCAGAAGCCAACACTACAGATGGGACATGGAAAGGCCATAGGCCTGGCCTTGTGCCACCAGGTTTTGGTAGTGATTGGACTACAGTGGTGGCTTCTGGGAGAAGCTGCTAGAAGCTCCCCCAATGTCTGACAGAGCTAGTGCCAGCAATAACAAGCTGGACCTGCTGCTGGCCAAGGCTGAGTCCATCAGCAATGGCAGTAACACCTCTGGGATAAAAGAGTTAAGAATGGGGAAAAACACACCTGTAGGGGAACAGCAGCCAGAAGAGAGGAGCGAGAACATGTGAAAGCAACAGCCCTGCAGACCCTAAAGGCAACGAACAAGTGAGGATGTGCTCCAGGCGCCAGAACAATGACTCCCCTGCAGCTTGTGGTGAGATTTGGGTTTACCTCTACATAAAAATTCTAGAAGTTAAGTGGTAAAAGTTAAGTTCTAACCTTGCTGCAAGTTCTAACTGTGCTGCAAGTTCTAAACCTTCTAAATCGGTGGCAAGTTCTCAACAGCTGGCAACTTCTAAACCCAAACATGTGGCAAGTACTAAGCCTTCTAAAGGCACAGAAAGTTTTAAATGTAATGAATGTGTGGTAAGTTCTGAACGCGTAGTAAGTTCTAAATGTTCTAAACACGATGAAGTTTCTAAACTTCCTAAATGCACCCTAAGTAAGTCCTATGTGCAGACTTAAGGGCTACGTGCACACCGGGGCCTACGCACGCTCTGAGGGCTCCGTGTGCAGTAAGGGCAGCTGGTGCACTGTAAGGGTTACCTGCACGCACTAAGGGCCAGGTGTGCTCTAAGGCCTACCTGCGCTCCAAGGGCTAGGTGCGCACTAGAAAGCTACCTGTGCCCTACAGGGCTACCTGCGCACTAAGGGCCAGGTGCACTCTAAGGCCTACGTGTGCTCTAAAGGGCAAGGTGTGCAAAGAGGCCTACGTGTGCACTGAGGGATCCCTGCACGCTAAGGGCTGGGTGCGCACTAAGGGCAAACTTCGCAATAAGGCCTAGGTACGCACTAAGGGCTACCTGGGATCTAAAAGCAAGGTGCGCTCTAAGGCCTACCTGCGCACCGAGGCCTACGCGAGCTCTGAGGCCTACCTGCGTACTGAGGGCTACCAATGCTCTGAGGGCTACGTGCCCTCTAAGGCCTAACTGCGCAAGTAAGGCCTACCTGCGCACTAAGGGCTACGTGCGCACTGAGGCCTACCTGTGCTCTGTGGGCTACATGCGCACTGAGGGATACCTGCGCACCACGGGCTAGGTGCGCACTGAGGGCTAGGTATGCTCTACAAGCTACCAGCGCACTAATGCCTAGGTGAGAACTAAGGGCTACCTGCGCTCTGAGGCCTAACTGCGCACTGAGGCCCAAACGCGCTCTGAGAGCTAGGTATGCACTGAGGCCTAACTGTGCTATGAGGCCTACCCTGCGCCCTGAGGGCTCCCGGCACACTGAGGGCTACCAGCACACTGAGGGCTACCTGCGCTCAAATGCCTAGGTGCCAACTAAGGGCTCCCAGCGCTCTGAGGGCTAGGTGGGCACTGACGCCTACCAGCGCACGGATAGCTACCTGTGTTCTGAGGCCTACCTGCGCTCTGAGGGCTCCCTGCACACTGAGGCCTACCTGTGCACTGAGGGCTAAGTATGCACTGAGGCCTACCTGTGATGTAAGAGCAAGGTGCGCACTGAGGCCGATTTGCTCACTGAGGGCGAACTGCGCACTAAGGGCTGCCTGCGCTCTGAGGGCTACGCATGGTAAGTTCCAAACCATCTAAAGGCGCAATGTTCTAAATGGGCGGCAAGTTCTAAAGCTTGTCAAGCCACCAATGGTTCCAAATGTGTCAAAAGTTCCAAATGTTCTGAACGCACCCTACGCTCCAAAAGCTGTGCAAGACCTAAACCTTCTAAATGCACCGGAAATTCTGAATGCAACAAAAGTTCTAAACCTTCTGAACTCACTTGAAGTTCTTAACTTTTAAACGTTCTGTATGTTCCAAACGTACTCAAAGTTCTAAACCTTCCAAAGCATCCAACCCTTCCAAACGCACCCCACGTTCCAAACCTTCCATAACTTCCAAAGCATCCAAACGTTCCTAATGCGCCCCCAGTTTCAACCCTTCCAAAGCTCCCAAGCGTGCCCCAAGTTCCAAAGCTTCCAAACCTTCCAACCCTTCCAAACACGCCCTACGTTCCAACCCTTCCAAACCCTTCCCAAGCGGCTGCAAGTTCCAAGCGTTCCGAACTCGCGGAAGGTTCCAACCCTGCCGAAAGCTCCAAGCCTTCCAAATGCACTGAATGCTCCAAACACACCGAAAGCTCTGAGCCTTCTGAACGTGCTGTAAATTCCGAACATGGTGAAAGTTCCAAACCTTCTGCTCTAAAGGTGTGGTAAGTTCTAAACCTTCTGAACATGAAATGCTGTAAGTTCTGCATATGTGGTACATTCTAAATGTTCTAAACACGTGGTACGTTCTAAACATTGTACACGTGCTGAAAGTTCCAAATCTTCTAAACGAGCAGTAAGTTGTGAACACTAAGTTGTGAATGCTCAAAATGCGCTGAAATTCTAAACGCTCTAAAAGAGCTGGAAATTCCAAGCCTCCTCAACACACTGAAAGCTTCAAACCTTCCGCACATGCGGAAGGCCCTGCACGCTGTGTAAGTTTGGAACGTCCTGCAAGCACTGAACATTCTGCACCTTCTACACATGCTCTAAGCTCTACATGTTGTGAATGTGTGGCAAGTTCTAAGCCCCTTGTAAGTTCTAACCACTCTAACTGCACGGTACATTCTAAACGTTCTAACCACACTAAGTTCTAAACCTTCTAACTGTGCCCTAATTGCTAACTGCACAGTAAGTACTAACCTTCCTAATCATGCTAAATGTGCCCTAAGTGCTAAACCTTCTAGAACACGCAGCAATATCTAAACATGTGGTAAGCTCTAAACACGCTGCTGAAAGTTCTACAGGTTCTAACCACGCTCTACATTCTAACTGTGCTTTTCTAAAAATTCAGATGTCAACCCACCACAACAGAATATGACCAAACACAGTCATGCTGCATTTATAAAAAGCTACCAATTCAAAAGGAGTCCTAAAAAGGCAGACTGGTTCAAACCCACCAACAGACATCTAGTGCTAGAGGCCTTGCAATTCCGGGCTCCAGAAAGCTACACGCAAAAGAACTAGCAGTAATTGTGTTTCCTAAGAAGGAGGGCTTAAAGAAGAAAACAAACACACCAAATTCACACAAGTCAAGTTAAATCTGGGATATGAGAGTCACAACAGAAAATACTGCTAGCATTCAGTAGCTAAGACCTCAGGAATG